CCTCCTCCTCCAGAGACCAGAAGCCACAGCCCAGTTCACTGCTGCTGGCAGCCATTGGAATTCATTCTCAGATCCTGCAGCCTCTTCAGGACACAGACCATTTCTTTTAGAAATCCCTTCCTCTCCACCCACATATGTCAGATAAATAAATACTCAACAGCAACAGTTCAAAAGCAGATTCTCAAAAATTGTTTTGATTTTTTTTCTTGAATCAGAGTTTCTCTGTGTAGCATTGCTAGCTGTCTGGCCTTGAACACACAGAGACCTGCCTGCCTTCTTGTGGAGTTTTGGGGTTACAGCCTTGTGCCTCCACCAACCAGTTCATTTCTTTTTTTCCCCCCGTGTTTTAACAAATTTTAATTAAAAATAGACACTCTGGAAATAATAAAAAAATAAAGTTCAACAAGCTCTGAATTTACAACAGAGTACACAAATAATTACAGACAACTGCTTTGAAATGCACAATAGAGCAATTACATGCAAGTATTCTATTTTTCAAACTCTACATAGCAACACTGCAGTGCTTCCCAGAGGCCATCATCCATGTTTGCTGGGCATCAGAGGGATGATTCTGACCAGAGATGGCTGGTCCTCATTTCCACTTCTCGTGCTTTACATTATTTCATATCATGTGAGAAAGAAAATTTGGCATCCACAGGACTGTGGAGGTTCATCAGTCCGCCACCATCCCATCCATCTTAACACCTGGGCCAGAGGAAAGCCTGTTTCTCCCTCCATCTCTTAATGCTTCTACCCCGAGCTATTCTAACTGAAGACAGAGCTCCTGGTCTGCCTGTCACCTTATGCCTGAAACCTGTACTCCACCCCAAGTTGTGTCTAAATGCAAGAGCAGGAATCCCATGTGTCGTGGTCCTTCCTTCCTACCAGCTAACCAGCAGTCCCTAGGGAGGCTGCACTCTCAGCGTTTTCAGTTATCCTAAGGCACTAAAGACTCATCTTACCTTCGAATGGAGCAATGACTTGCCACAGCAAAGGACAATTTGCACCGTATAGCATTTCTGTTCCTACAGAAACTTTATTTATAAAGCAACACTTGATGATTCACTACACATCAGACCTCAGGCTCAGGATATTTTTAATAAATGGAAACATTTGCTTCATGAATTATGGTATTTAAAAAAATACCTGTCAGGGAAAACCTAAAAAGTTGTAGTTCCATTTGTACTCTTAAGCAAACAGCATTCACAGAATCAGCAGAAGTTAATGCTTAAAAGTATGTTCTTAGGGACCACAGACACCAGAGCACTCACTCCTCTCAACATGGACTTAGCTACTATCTGTAGACTGAGGCTGGGCAATGCTTTTATTTCTATTAATCAAGTATTCTCAAACAAGCAGAAATTTCCTAAAATGAAAAAATTAAGTATTTGTAGATTCCAGGCTGTTACTATTGACACTGACACTCCTGGGAGAACAAGGCGTGCATGGGTTACCAAAGATTTAATTTACATATACATGACCAGAGAAACTGAAACAGTTGCAAACCAAACTGCAGGGAGCAGTCCTACTGCCAGTGTGCTTCCTTCTTGGGCTTTCTGAGCACCTGGAACCCCTTGAAGAGCCTCAAACACTGAGAATAAAGCTGGTGGTGGGGGGGAGGCATCCAAAGTCAGCCAAACTTCAGACCTAGTCTTCTACAGATCCTGTGATTCACACTCGAAGTTCAGACTATGTTTGGCATTTTTTAGTTCAGACATATCAAAACCTAGAAGTACAGAGGGCTTATGAGTTTTTATTGCTTTCATGCAAATATATCTTCTTTTCCCAAACAATGAAGCCATGTCAATTTTCCACACCCATAAGAGTGAAGTCAATAGTTCCACTTCTTTTCTACTCGGATATGGCCTCTTGTGGAAATAATCTCTAAGAAACTGTTTTTTGTCCTCATAGGAGCGGCCTCCATACTTGGTAGGATCCAATGCTAACACCTGCAGAGAGTCATCACTGGTCCCTGACCCCTCTGTCCTGCCCTCATTCTTCTTTCTCTTCAAAGGCACAGCACTCAGTCCTCTCTCTGGACCTGGGACTGCATCGGTGTCTAGAGTGAGCTGGGGCTTGTCCCCATCCCTCTGGTCTTCTGCCCCCAGGTGCCCTTCTGGCAGCTTTCTCTTTACAGCAAAGGTGGAGTCAGGGATCACTTCCCCATTAACCAACAGCAGTTCACTGCTCTCAATAAAACCTGGCTGGCCCTGCAGGTCTGAGCTGCTGTCCTTGGGAGCACTTCTACAATGGAGCAAATGGACAGCAATGGCTCCTAAGGTCATATTTCCAGTGTAGACCTCACAGCAGTGGATGCACTTAAAGGCTGGAGACCTGAGCATTGTATGGACTGTGGGCATGACATGGTGCCTCTCCTTCAGATGGAGCTCATAGGCATCAGCAGTCACAAATGTGCCAAAACAAAAGGGGCAGGTCAGCTTCTGTTTGCTAGGCAACTTTGGTGAAACCTCGGGCTGAGGCCTCACCTTAACGTACACAGGTACCAGTGACTTGGAGTGTATGCCAGCAAGGATAGCCAGGTACACCTCTCGCTCTCCAAGCTTTTCTCGTGGCAGTGTGGTGATGAAATCAAGATGGGGGAAGAGCAAGTTCCCATTGGCATCCAGGTCCAGCTGGAAACCTTTGTTACTATAATCCAAAGACAGTCTCTTCTTGCCCAGGTGCTTAGTCCTGCTATGCTCCACAAGGCCCCGGACATCATGGAAAGTGCACGGACAAAACAGGCATCCCAAGCCATGCATGAGCAAATGGTGCATCAGCTCCTCCTGCGAGACCAGGCACTTACAGGAGAGGCAGCGAACCGTGTTCTCTCTCGTCCACTTCAGAAACGGGGTACATGCAGCAAGCTTTTCAGGTTCAAGTTTCTCACCAGACTTGGACTCACTCTGCTTGTGAGCCACTTCCATGTGAACCTGGTAGACACTGGAGGGAAAAGCTCATTGCAAACCGGGCATGTTTTCCAGTGCTTGGCCTGTCGGAGTGCCTGATTTGCATCTGCTACAGGTGAGGTAGCCTGAACAAACACACTAGGGGCAGGGCTCACTAGCACCTGTGGGGAGGGCAGGCTGGGCAGGGAGCTAGCCGTCTGTGTGCCCAAGCTTGAGGGCAAGAACTGCATTGGCACCTGGGGTGGTGGTGTGACAATTGCAAGGCCTCCAGCAGAGGACACAGGCAGAGTGACAGACACTGGGGCCAGTGTGTAGGTGGGAATTCCATTCACCTGCTTCCCAGTCGGAATGAGCTGTCTGAGAATAGAGCCTGAAGTGAGAAAAGTAGTGTTTTGTGAGGTTCCCACTCTCATTGGCTGGCTCACAGGCAAGATGTTAGTGCTGACAGATGGACTGAGCTGCAGGACACCAGGCCTCATGGGTGGGCCCACAGGAAGGACTCCTGGTGTTACTGGCTGACTGAGCTGAAGAACACCAGAGCTTACACCCTGATTCACAGGGACAACAGCTGAGGGGACAGTCTGGTTTGATGAAAGCAGCCCGGGTGATACCACCTGACCTGCAGGGAGAACCCTCAAGGGCACTGTCTGGCCAGGAGGGAGAACTCGAGATGGAGGTGTCTGACCAACAGGGAGAACTGATGACTGAACCACTTGGCCAGTGGGAAGGACACCAGAAGTGGCTGTCTGCCCAGGGATCACTCCAGCATGGGCCACCTGGACGGCAGGAAGGACTCCTGATGGAACCTCCCGACCTACAGAAATCCCCCCTGGAGAAGCAGACTGCAGAGCCCCTGAGTTGACAGAGGGACTCACAGGTAAGACACCAGGTCCAATAGGTCTGTTTATGGGTCCCACAGGTCTACTTATAGACCCCATGGGCTGAGTGAGGGGTAAAACTCCAGGGCGTACAGCTTGATTCATGGGAAGGATGCTTGCTCTAACAGACTTATTCACAGGCAGCACAGAAGTACTCCCAGGCTGATTAAGTGGAACACTGTGAGAGATAAAGACAGGAGGGGGAGCTGACGGTTTCAGGGTGAGGCTATTCTGGCATACAGGCAAAGAGCTGGAGACCAGAGCTACATGAGATTGGGCAGTGGTGGGTGGGGAGTGTGTAAGGCTTTCAGAAGTGCCTGGGGCCACAGTCACTGGCTCCACAGTGCCAGGACTTTGACTGTTCGGTGGCAAAGTAAGGCAGAAGCAAGACGGAGGGGCTGCAATGCTCGAAGCACTGCTATTTGGTGGTAAGGCCAAGTGGGTCACTGGTTTTGGAGCAATATGCATTTGCTTCAGAAACCCAGTCCTCTTGATGTGTTCTGAAATTACAGACCGCAGCTTGTTCTCCAAGTCCCTGTGTGCATCTGATGTCAAAATGTGATACATCAGGGCATCCTGACTGCTGGCAATAGCGTTGCATTTTTTACAGTAGAGTATTTGTCAAATGACAGGAAATGACCCAGAAGCAGGGTCACTTGCTTTTGGTTGCTCTGTTTCCTCGGTTTGAAAACCAAAGTAGGAGCTGATTAAGTAATGAAAATGGGTCACCAGCACATGCTTCTTCATACTGTAGTACAAGGTGTTGGAAAAGTTACATTTTAAACATGTGAAGTTTATCACATCACTCCTTAATGTCTTCGCTTCACCCAGAATGTTCACCGTGTCGTTCTGGACTTTCTGCGCAGGCACATGAAACATCCTGAAGTGCTTACCCACTACCCTGGGCTGAGAAGAAAACGGGCAGTTGGGGCAGGGGATCATCAGCTCCTGGTCAGCCTCGTCTTCGTGGTAACGATGCAAGTGATTTTTTAATGGAAGCGAGCACCTTTGTTGAGTACCTACAGAGAGTACAGCAGTACGGCTTCGTTCGGTATCTCGCTTTCTTTCCAGAAGGTTCCCAAAGGGAGACATCGCCCCATGATGTATTATAAAAGTACTTCTCTCCTGGTCCAAAGCCTTTAAGATCCTTCAGCAGCTCCTTGCAGCTGTCAAGTACAATATCCACCAAGATGCCTTCCACCCTCTTCCGCATCTTCCTGATGCTGTCAAGATTCTGCACATAAACTTGAAACATTTTTGATATTTTCCGCGGGGCGCCGGAACGCCGCGTCCCGCCGCCGTCGCAACACCGCCCGTCCTCCGCCTACGCGGCCGGACCCCCACCCCGCCCATTTCTTTCTTTCTTTCTTTCTTTCTTTCTTTCTTTCTTTCTTTCTTTCTTTCTTTCTTTTTTTTTTTTGATGCCAGGTTCTTTAGTTTAATTTTAGTTAATTTTCTGAAATTATATGCTTCCTTTTAAAACCGAACCCACTGATTTACATTAGCAAGAGACTTGCAGTTGAATTTGGCGTAAATTTCCAGCCAATCTGGGGCAGGTCTGTCTTTAGATTAGAAGCCAGTCCAGGACCACGGTGCTTTCTGCTAACCTGGTCCCGTCACTCAGACCTCTTCAGCCAATCAGATGGGAGGGTTCTTCCCGGGAGCCGGACTTCCGTTCCGGTTCAGCTCCCTCTAGCACTGAGTCTGGGGCTCTCCAGTGGGCAGAGAGTCTGTCAGCTCGAAGGCTGCACCATGGTGAGTGAGGGGTTGCTCTACACAGACGGGAGGAGTAGCAGGGCTTGGCGAGGGAGGGGCCGCTGTCCCTTGTAGGCGGAGCGGCCGCTGAGGCTCCAGGCCCCTGTGGTGGGTAGGAGCCCGCGGACGGACAGAGCGTCGGGAGCCGCAGATGGTGGTGTCTGTCGTGTTTATATCGTCACGTGTGGAGAGAGATCACCACATTCGCCAAACGCGGAGACTCCTGGTCTCTCCTGGGTCTTCAGAAGTTCTGCACTTTTAACATTTAGGTTTGGGATCCGTCTGTAGTTAATTTCGTGCGACTTGTAAACGGTTTATCGCGTGTAGAGTAGCGCTCCACTACTAAACTGTGATGTAGACAAGTATAGTTGATAATAGAATTAATGGTATAAGGATTTACTGGTTCTTAGGAGACATAAAGTCACACAGTAGAATTGAAGTGAGGGAGGGCTGCATCCCAAATATCCAAAGATGAGTAGCATGCACACCATGCCTGTTAGAGATTAGTATCATGAGGTGCAAGTGTTCAGCAGGATTAATCAGCCATTAAGGTTCATTCCTTTAACAAATGAGACATCCATGATTTACAAGCAGCCAGAAGACCCACTTCCCCATCAAAGGCCTCTGACCTGCTGCTCTGGGGCCATTACGGGGCCACAACCTTGTGTGCCAGGAGAGTATAACAATTCTAGAACAGCTGCATTTTTCATCTCTTAGGAAAGCAGTTGTGACTCAGGGTCCCCTGTGCTGACTGAGGTGGACTTGAATCCTGTCTGCAGCCCCACAGGGCATTGCCCTTGCTATCCTCCTGGCTAACCATCGTGCATTCTTGATCACAAGTGTGCTGCACCACTGAGCTATAAAATTGCCAGTTTGAGTCATACACTGGGACTGTCCATTGCAGTAAAATAAATGAATTTGCATGTGGAGCATGGCTTCTCCCTTCAGACCAGAAGAATAGGAACGGTGTACTGTGTTTGAGGGGGTAGACACACTGGAAAATATCTAGGTCTTAGACTGAAGTTTAATGCTATGGACTGCAGGGGTGTCCATTACAAAAAAGGGCACAGTGATGGGGCACAGTGAGTGACTTTCTGTATAATTCCCATCATACATTAATTCCTTCCTTGTGAATGAAGACAGACACTTGTGCGTGTATAGTTCAGGGAGGAGAGCTTGAACTCCTAAGTATTTAGTTTCCAATTAGTGAACTCTCCCATGCAGACATGTCCAATCCTGGTTGACACAGTGAAGTCAGCTCAGATGTTTGAGACACAGGCCATTGGCTGTAACTCCATGTGTCAGCTTACAAGCACTCAGCAGCTAACATTTTACATGGGACAAAGTCATGCATTCTCTTATTAATGGCATTCTCCCTACCAGGGAAGTGCCTACTCTGTTTCAAAGTTAGTATAACTAAGTGTTCTCTTATTTTTTATAATTTTAAGAAGTCAATTATTGGTTATCATTTTTTAGATTTTATTTTCTTCAATGGCATGACTGCTATAATCACTTTGTTTCTATTTTCCAATGTTTCCCAGTTTTTGAATTTCATTCTATTTTTAAGTGCTGTTTATGTATTCATCTATTTATTTATATCAGTTTATAGCTGTGATTCTCTACCTTGTGGGCCATGACTCCTTTTTGGGGGATCAAATGAACCTATCAAAGGACTGGCCCAAGACCATCAGAAAGTACAGATATTTATATTATAATTAATAACAGTAGCAAAAATATAGTTATGAAGTAGTAGTATAAATAATTTTATAGGTGGGGAGATCACTACATCATGAGTAACTGTTTTAAAGAGGCACAGCACTAGGAAGATTGAGAACAACTGGTTTAGACTAATGTCTCCTGTAGCTCAGGTTTGCATCCTACTATGTAACTGAGAATTGCTGTGAACACACAATCCTGCCTCTGCTACCTAGTGCTGGAAAGACAGTCCTGCAACTCCTACCAGGCTGGACCTTGACTGGTCTGTGTGAAAGAGAAATAGATCAGTGAATGAGTATCCTCCAATTTCTGTAGATTTTATTGTGAATTTACAAGTGAAGTGGGAGCCGTTTAAGAATTGAGTTCACTGACTAACTGTAAAGCCAGTGTAGTCACAACAAAGGATGGGCAAGAAGGAAGGTAAAAGCTTTCCTGCTGTGACAATAGTTGACATAAGCTGTGAGTAGTGAGGTGATCAAGTTTAGATGTTCCATAAATGTCCTGTCTGGCCATTTCATGGGTCCACAGACCACACACAGGTCCCAGTGCCTTGGAGGAGGAACAGGAAGTGCTCTGGGAGAATGGAAGATTTTATTAAACTACAAATTTCCCAGATTAGGTTCTTGTCTCCCTATAGTGTGGAAGGACACACAATAGTTTTGCTGCAGTGCATATAGAGTGTGTAATGGAATCTGCATACAAAGGATCATGTGCTCTGGATGAGGAACAGGGTATGGTCTAGGAAAGTGAAAGAATGTGTACTGAAATACAAACTTTCTGGACTTAGGCCCTGTCTACTGGGCTGGAAGGGCAGAGCAGAAAGTACTGTGCTGTCTGAGTCATTTTATCTCTAATCATCCATTAGGAGAGCTGATAATATTCTGATGCCCATCAGGGTGGCCTTAGCCAGTGAGGGACTCTGGAAAGTCTTAGCAATCAGGAATAATAGTGGCAGGTGGCTGGCAGGTTCTTTCCAGGATTCTTCTCTACTTTTGTTGTAATGAGTTGTAAGGAAGACCACAAGCTATGCCATAGTGAGTGTAGGGTGTTCAGAGAAGGTCTGCTGGTATTTGGATGGACCATGTGCCAGACTGTGGTTCTATTGCTCTATGTAATGACCTGGGCAGTGCTCCTTGTCCTCTGAGCCTCCCTCTGTATGGATTTCCTGGGAGAGGGAGACTCTGCAGCCCTGGCATGGTAGGATAGTATGCTTGTAATCTCACTGTCCCGTGTACACACAGAGTCATGCTTGTGGTCTACAGCCGGAAGACAGATTTACAAACTGATAATCTGGTTTCTAGAAGTTCTGAATATTGCGGTCTACTTTCAAGTTTGTCTTATACATGTTTCAAGTTGTTTAAAAGCTGGTAGAACTACAGTGATGTTGATTTAGCAATGCATGATTTAAATGTTTCTAAGTTTCTGCTGCCACCAGCTGCAATGGTGTGATTCACGGATGTTTAGTTCCACAGGACAAAGGGAGTTTCTGAGCTGCAGAGGTTTGTTAGGTGTGTATGGTGTTGGGCCGGTAGATAGGGCAAAGTCTATAACTTGTGCTATAATCCATGTGACAGGAAGCAAAAATTATTCTATATTGTTTTGGGAATGGGCATCAGTGGGGCTGGGTTTACCTGAAAACACAAGGAGGACTAAAGGACTGCAGAACCCTAGCAGGAGATCATCTCTTTGCAGAGAGGGATCTAGAGCATGGGTCTCTCTGGAAGAAATACCAGTAGCTGTAGGGTCAGAAACAACAGTTTAAGGATCACTTTGAGGAAATTTTGTGAAAATTTTGTGAAGTCTTTATTTATTTAATTTCTATACACATAGTATCATAGGTAGCTGGATAACATTGGTCAAGATCACATGTTTCCTGACTAAATTTCCTTTGGATTTTTGATTAATAGCTGACTATATTTTCCCACCTTTGTTCTTGACTTTCTCTCCATTCTCTTTATTCTTTCCCAAATATCGTACATATTCTTGATTGATCAGCTTTGTGGTAATATTTTCTCCCCGAGTCAGGGTTTTTTTGTAGCTTTGGAGCCTGTCCTGGGACTTGCTCTGTAGACCAGACTGGCTTCAAACTCAGAGATCCTCCTGTCTCTTTTTTCTGAGTGTTGGAATTTAAGGTGTGTTCCTCCACCACCACCCGCAAAGAAGTTCTATTATGTCAGCCTGTGTACTATTTTTTCATAATCCCATTGATTACTCTGTGTGCTTCCAATACGAATGTAGCTTTGTAATCATTTTTTATGTTATAAATTGTGGGGAATTGTCATTGTACTGTATTCATTTATAGTGCAAATTTAACATACACATCATCTCAATATTGATGCATCATGTTTCCAAGGATCATTTATTTACTTCTTTATTTATTTAGGTTTTGTTGCTCTTGTTGTTAATCTGTGAGAGACTTTTGGTTTATTGGATAAAAGGTATTTGGATGTTGACAGGTGGCTCAGCACATATTCATTTTGGAGGTGAGCTTAGTTCAGATATTTGTACTTAAATTGTGAGGCTCATAACTCTACCATTTCAGATCCAGGGCCTCTGAACCCCTCTTTTTTGTGTTACTTGTATATATATGGAAGACATTCTCACTCTGGCACAAACATATGGAAAAAAATAGCAATAAACTTGTTTTCAAAAGTGTTTGTTAGGGCTGTAGAGATGGCTCAGAGGTTAAGAGCATTGCCTGCTCTTCCAAAGGTCCTGAGTTCAATTCCCAGCAACCACATGGTGGCTCACAACCATCTGTTATGAGGTCTGGTGCACTCTTCTGGCCTTCACTCATACACACAGACGGAATATTGTATACATAATAAATCAATAAACATTAAAAAAAGTGTTTGTTACTTATATAGCAATTAGAGTAAAACAAGTTGCTTTAGGTGTGCATTGATTCTTTAAAAAAAATCAGTCATCTTGCATTTTGTTTTAAAATGATTTCATTTCCTCACTCTGATTGCAGACGTACAGGCAATCATCAATCAGGGGGAGCAAAATGGTGTCTAGGTGATCATAACAGACATATTCTTCTTTATTATAGAAAGTGAGATGTTTTTTAGTAGTCAAAATTATTTTCTACAAAGTTAAGACATGAGAAGGTTTCAAGTGAATCTTTCCAATTTTGGTGGAACAACCCTCCTCAACCGGCTATTATCCATTATTGGTATAAGATAAAGAACTGAAGTGTATAGGATGAGTGCTGGTCAGTGATTTCTTAGAGTTTGATTTTGGTTAGAATCTTGTAGTTTTTATTTAAAGGACCATATTGTGTC